TGGATCAAGCGCGACGAGGACGTCGCGAGTCTAACGGAGGGTGATTGTAATACCCCAGACCAAGAAAGTTTAAGAGATTTGATAGGTACTACTCATACCAACAAGGTGCACCTTCTTTTCCGGAAATCCATCGTTGGAAGTTCCACAATTAAGCGTGCTTGGTTTGGAGCAATTCTATGATGGGTGATCCCCCTGGGAAGTTTTCTAGGGGAGCATGCGAGTGAGGACAAAGTATGCTGAAAAGACCCATGTTGGTACAGTGAGGACAGTACGTCGTCGATCTAACGGTCAGGACAGCCCGTTAAGTGGGACCTGGGTCGTTACACCTGTGCCATTCCCATTTTCTGAATAAGGGTCCTCATAGTTACCAACTTCAATGATAGCCATATTATAACTATTTTTAAGTTTGGATACGACATCAATATGTTGTTTGTAGCCATTATTTTCTTTGTTGGCAATTGGTCACATTTCATTCATGAATTAACTAATACACAAACTCAAACAGGCACGGTTAAACAACTAACACCGTCATTGACGACATTCATCATCACAATGACAACATATGACTTTTGTCGAAAAATCATGTCGTCTGAANGATTGAGCGCGACGAGGACGTTGCGAGTCTAACGGGGGGTGATTGTAATACCCCAGACCAAGAAAGTTTAAGAGATTTGATAGGTACTACTCATATCACAAGGTGCACCTTCTTTTCCGGAAGTCCATCGTTGGAAGCTCCACAGTTAAGCGTGCTTGGCTTGGAGTAATTCTATGATGGGTGACCCTCCTGGGAAGTTTTCTAGGGCAGCGTGCGAGTGAGGACAAAGCATGCTGAAAAGACCCATGTTGGTACAGTGAAGACAGTACGTCGTCGATCTAACGATCAGGACATCCCGTTAAGTGGGACCTGGGTCGTTACACCTGTGCCATTGCCATTTTCTGAAGAAAGGTCCTCATAGTTACCAACTTCAATGGTAGCCATATTATAACTATTTTTAAGTTTGCATACGACATCAATATGTTGTTTGTAGCCATTATTTTCTTTGTTGGCAATTGGTCACATTTCATTCATGAATTAACTAATACATAAACTCAAACAGGCACGGTTAAACAACTAACACCGTCATTGACGACATTCATCATCACAACGACAACATATGACTTGTCGAAAAATCATGTCGTCTGAA